TGTGTCACAAAGCCTCAATTTCCAAAAGGCCTAAGGAGCTGTGATCAGTTTTAGCCACTCAGGAACTAGACTGGTTGGCAGGAGTAGGGAGACACGGGTTACCCACCCCATGCAACATACTGGGCTCAGCGGCCACACTCATGTTATTCTGCAAATGAAGTAAAATCCTCATGTCAGCTCCAGTGTGGTTAAAGGGACAAGCTCAGTGATCTAGTCCCAAATCTGCCTGCATCAGAGTCATCAAGATTCAGTATGGGGAATTAGTTAATACTCATTAATACACTCCATCTTCACAGATTCTGATTCAGTAGGTTTAAAATAAAGCCTAGAATCACAAGCAGTTGTTAGCAACAACAACAAATGCTGAGAAGGACCAGGAACCAAGAAGCAAAGGCCTCGGGGCCTAAGCAGCCACGAATAGGGTGCTGTGTGAGACACAAAAGCCTCTGATCTTGTGATTACATTCACTTCAAGGTGGTAATGTGGGCGCTAGCCAGGCTAATAATCAACTAGTGACATCAGCCTCCAGCCAGACAAGATGAGTGGGAAAACTTACAAAGCAAAAAGCAAGTGCAGTTAAACTGATTTACCATCATTTAGTCACATGATGGTAAAGAGTGGGCACTCTAAAAATTTGTCTGATCCTGTGCTTTTGTAACTTGAGCTCGTTTTCCTTTAGTTTTTGTAAACACTGCTTTTAAAAGGTCTTGGCCAAAATGTATGAAAAGAAAATTGTGTATCCATAAGCCAAGTCCAGGTTTGGATGACTTCCTTATCTTTGTCCTATTCATAAGCTAACCATGTCAAACTAGCCACTTTTAACATTCTTTATCTCATTTCATACACACAAGTCTTGGGTAGTATAATTCCCAGGTTATGGGCAAAAAAACTGAGGTACTCAAATGTGTTGACTTGATTTTTATTTTAACACAATCTCATGGGAATATACATGATAAAGAATGTTCCAAAACTGATATACAACAAGAACAGAGGCCGAACACGGTGCTCACACCTGTAATCCCAGCTTTTTGGGAGGCCGAGGTGGGAGAACACTTTAGCCCAGGAGTTCAAGACCAACCTGAGCAACAGAGTAAGACCTCATCTCTACAAAAAAAATAAAAAAATTAGCCAGGCATGGTAGCATACACGTGCAGTCCCAACTACTAGGGAGGCTGAAGTGGAAAGATCACCTGAGCCCAGGAGCTTGAGGCTGGGGTGAGGTATGATTGTGCCACTGCGGTCCAGTCTGGGTGACAAAGAGACCTCACTTCAAAAAATAAAAAATAAGGATAGAATTCCCCTAGTACCTAAAATCCAGAGGGAGAATTCAAGGTAGAAACTCTCCCATTTGTCAAGGAACAGATGGTCTGATTGCTCAAATACCTTAATGGACCAGGCTCCAGGCCAGAAGAGTAGGAAAGATGAAAGAGTAGCAGGGAAGCAGGCAGGAGTAAAGAATGTGTGGAATGTGATCCACGTTACTTTTGAATTAATAACTTTCAAAAGGTTCAAGTAAAATAAAATAATTTCACACAAATCCCACTAACAATTTGGCAATTTGGAATGCTATTCTCCCCCTAATAAATTCATTAAATACTTTATTAAACATCTAGTACCTAATAAAACACTAGCCCTGTGGAAGATACAGACATGAATAAGCTCTTGTTCTTATTCTTGAAGACTCAGCAATCTGCAGGAGAGAAAAGACAAATACACAAACAACTAGACTTCAAGCAGAATGTTATTCATAAGAAAGATATGGACAAATACTGCTGGGCATCTGTGATTATGAAGGGCAACTATAAATCGTTTTGGAGCTAAGTAAAACTGCTGGTTAGAAGATTTCCAGGCAGAATACAGAGTATTAGTTCTTTCTGTGAACTATAAAATATATATGTAATTACTGTTGCCAACTACTTTTACTATATTAGACAAAAGTAAGGATTTCCCAACAACTTATAAAGAAATTTCACTCATATCTAAAAAGTGATTTTAATTTTAGACTTTTGTGAACTGTTTTATATTCTATTAACTCACTCAATGCAGATGTCACTATTTTGGTTCCTCCTAAAATTAAGGCGGGGAGGGGTAGAAACAATCACCAAAGAATAACAACACTCAGGGAAGTTAAGGCCCAGAGGTTTAGTTCTGTGTTGCCCATCTTGGAGGTCATTTGTATTTATAATGCATGATTCCAAAACAAAAAAATTAAGTCAAGATTTTCTAAAAGATTCAAGGTAGCACAACAGAACCAGTAAATTTAGTTACTCCACTTTTATACACCTTTAGCCTTAAAATAAAAACTTGTATAATAAAGGCCTACTATCTTCATCAAATTTCAATGGCTTCCTACTGTGAAATGCAATATGCTCCAAACAGAGAAAAGTCTAACTATTTTTAATCTATAAAGGACTAATAATATAGGTACCAATACTTACTAGTTTTCTTAAAATAAATAAATAATCAGAACAATTTATGAATGTTTGCTTCTTTCTGCCATGGCCTTAAGAAAGATACTGACACAACTGGGGAGGGGAATGCGCATTGGCTATTAAAGCCTCAAAGATGGTGGAATGATGGCTTGGGGGAAAAATCATTAAAATGATAAGGGCTCACTTTATTTTACAAAGTAAAAAATGACTTAGACTTATGTTATTAAGTATATTTAAAAGTATATTTCTAGTGAAAAATCATGAGCTTTGGAGACAAAGGACTAGAGATTATATATTAGCTATAAGCCTGAGCAAGTTACTCAAGTTGTCTGATTTTCAATTTGCTTATCTGTAAAATTCAATCATTTAACACATATTCCTTAAGTAGTGAGTAATATTCTAGGTGTTGGGCATATAGCAGTGAATAAATCCTTGTCGTATGGAGTTTACATTCTAATGGTGAGAGTATATGGAAATATAGGTATAGAATACACAGGGAAATAAACAAATTTTAAAACACAGTATGCCAAATGGTGATAAGTATTACTGAGAAAAATATTATAGGCTTCAAAGCACGGTCAGGAAAGGTCTCACTCAAAAGAACACTTGGACAAAGACATGAAGGAAATAAGAGAAAGCCCTGTAAATGCCAAGGTTTCTAAAAGGAAACAGCATGAGCAAAGGCCCTGAGGTAGGAACATTCTTGGTGTATTAAAGGAACACATCACTGTAGCTGATGCACAGTGACAGTGGAAGGAGAAAAGTAGCAGAAAATGGGGTCAAAAAGGTGGCAAAGGACATCTAGGACACGGTCCTATAGGACAAGCAGGCTATTGTAAGGACTTGGGCTTTTTCTCAGAGTGAGATGAGAAGCCATTGAAAGGCTTGCAACATCGTAGGTGTTTGACCTGACTTACATATCAGACTAAACACTCACCTCACAGAATTCTTTGGGGAGGACCAAAAGCAATTTGAAAGGGTTTTGTTAACTGGAATGTGATTTACTTGTACAAATGTGAAACACTCTTATTAGATTCCTAACTTTCTATGTGTCTTTCTACATCAGAAAACTTTGTCAAGCTCTTCTTCTGCACAAAACAGTGGTAAATATTTTACAGATTTAACAAGAAAAATAAAGTAGTAAATACTAAGACTACTCTCTCAATTTCTATTAAACTATATATATATTAAACTTGTTTTATTTTATTTTAAATCCAACTACAAAACAATTATATTTCAACATGAAATGATGAGGAACAATGTGAAAAACATCTTCACACTAATCAAAGAGTCAAGTAATGACTCTTGAAATGATATGTTCTTAATGAACACTTTCCTTTGAACTGCCTAGAATGGAAAAGGAAGGATTTAGTGTTAAATAAGAGATGATCCTATCTTGTTATCACAATGGCCAACCCAACCAAATTTCTGCCTAGTCAAATTTCTTAATTACTGGTATATGTAAAATGTGCACAGCGCAAATTTTCATTAGGAAATAAAAATAAATTAAATATATGGCAAATGGTAAAAATTAAATTATTGAACAGGTAAACGTCTCCCATAATACTAGACAGCTCATCATCAACTCACTGTTTAAAGGCAATCACAGCAACTGACAGCCCCATTAGTTTATGAGGAAAACCAGTATCAAACTGAAATGACAGTGGAAATGGAAACTTATTTCCTCCGAATTCTAGCCTTGGTCTGCTTCTTTTTGTCATTTTGATTTTACTTTGTCATTTCATATCATGTGTGGCTACCATTATTGCTATATGAAAATAATTCATATTCCCTCACTAATTTTACCCTAAACCCCAGCGTTACATTGCCAGTTCTTGCCTGAACATTCCCATCTGATGTCCTGCCAGCAATAAATAATCCCATTTAACTTTTCTTGAGCCCACATAACAATTCTAAGAACTTCAACTTTGTGTATTAGCTCTTTCCATTTTAAACTCCCCTAATCAGGACTGTACTATTATTTTCCCCATCTTACATGGGAAAATAGTCCAAAGTCACACATTTAGCCAGTACTTTGAGTCTAGGCAATTTTGCTCCAGATAGGTATACTTAATCCCAGCAGCATCACAATAGTGCCTCAGTTCTGTACCTAAATCCGACACAAAACAAAACTCATCATCTATTCCCTCCAGGTTCTCACTGTCTTATTTCTAATAGAAAGCAACTCAATTTCAATCACCCGGCCTCAAAACTCAAGTCATGTCTTCCGCTTCCAATAGGCAGGCAGTCCCTGGGGTAGCCTGGCCTGCTTTCCTGCCAAAATTTCACTGGGTACAGGCCACAAGAAGCCGGCCCAAGGCAGGGGCTTCCCCGAACGCGAAGGTGTACCTATTCGCGTTCTCCAGGTGCCCTTCCAGGAGCTGGCATCCTACCCTGGCTATCTGCTTCCCCGAAAGTTTCGCCGCCCCACCCCGCGTCCTGCCGTGAGCCAGACTCCCCCCCCTTCCCGCCAGCAGCTCCGTATCTCCACACGCTCCACTCCACGTCCCCGAGCACCCCACCCTAGTCTCCCTTCTCGTGTCCTGAACTAGCAGTTGCAGCCTTTACCTGCTCCTCTGCTTCCGCCATGGTGCGGCCGGAGAGTCACATGACATACCCGGAAATGAGAGTAAACTAGGCACTGGGCCCGGGGCATGCTGGGAAATGGAGTTTTAACCGCAACCAAGGCCGGACGTCCCTTGTATCCAGAGAATGTGTTGGGGCTCATTCCTGCTCCGGACTCTCCGAGCTCACTGGCGTTCTGCTTTGAAGAATCTGAACAGAATCATGTTAAAACTATTATTTATTTTATTGTATCCCTATTTATAGGGGAAAACACTGTAGCTCAGAGGTCACTCAGCTAGTAAGAGGCAGAACTAGGAATAGAATAAAGCCCTATCTGATGCCAAAGACTGTGATTAACAAATGCTGCTTACTCTAAAAAATGTCCTTGCCTTTTTTCTTTTTTAAGTATTTTCAGCGAATACAAAGCATTCTTTGCCGTAGAGAGCCAGAGAACAATTTGTGTGCCTACAAATGACATAATGTCATTCTTTCTGCTTGCTGCTGTAAGTTAACATCTTGTCGGATGAACATTAAAAAAACTTTAAAAATTTTTTTTTTATTTTAGGGTTGCGGGGTAGAAGTGAGGATTTCCTACATAAGTAAGTTTCACGCAGGTGAATTTGGGGCTTTTAGCAGGCCCTCTCTCCCCAAATAGTGGACCTGGTACCCAGCATGTTGCCTCGTGCTCCCCATCCTTCCTCCTTCCCAAGCTCCCCTAGCAGTGTCCAGCTACTGCCAATTCCACCAGTGAGTGAGAACATGTGGTATTCAGTTCTTTGTTTCTGAGATAGTTCACTTAGTACGATGGTCTCAGCGGCATCCATGATGAAATGTAAAAAACAAAACAAACTCTTGTTTAATTAAATTATTGGTTAAACATTTGTTGAGTGTATTCTATAGGAATATGTTCTAGATATAATATAGACTTGTCCTTGGTAAAGTCTGCAAAACCACAGTATTAATTCTATCCTTTAGAATGACTAATCCCCTTTCCATGTTTCTGAGCATTAAGAGCACCTCTCCTGATCCCCAGGAATCTGCAGTATCTTGTCTAACACAGGCATTTTTTTCCTTTGCATTTACTGCAGTAGCTGGTGACCACCAAAGACCATCCTAAATGGCAGTATGTGGTGGATGCCTCAGTACCCTTTTTGACTCTCTGTGCTTCAGACTCCTAGGAAATCATGGACTCAGCCCTCTGTGTCTTTAGCTTGCTCAACATGCGATTCCTCAATGGCCAAGAAACCATCATCTCTGAGACACTTATCTTCTCCCTAGGGCCTAAATAGCCTTAACTCCATCCTCTTCCTCTAAGTGTTCCTCTTCTAGTCTGCTAATCACTCATCTGCAGGGAAATGAAGATAGACCAACCCCAAGGCATTTAGATAGCCATAGGCAAGCACCCAATACCTTATGTATCAACCTGTCAAATCCAAGAGTTTCTAAAATCTCTTGCAAAACAGCCCCGAACCAAACATTGATCATGATGGATTCCAAAACCAAGAACGACCTTTATACAGACCAAAGAGGCTGTGGAAGCCTTCAGTCCAGTCTCCATAGGAAAGACAAATAAGACAAGATCATCTGCTCTTCTGACTTTCCTTGCAAACTCATAATTTCCCCTTTTTTCCATTATGCTCTAGACCCACCCATAAACCTTTAGGATTACAACGTCTTTGAATTGAACATTTCTTCTGCTTTGGTAAAATATGGACATGATCAGAATGAGAAGGGAAAACAAAGGATTATTACCACTGTGTTATTACCCCTAAGGATGTTTTTGTTTTATTGTTCAATTTATTTTGGTGATACAAAGTCAAGCAGTTTTATTTCGGTGATACAAAGTCAATCATTCCAGAGAAAGAGTGATTAAATACTGAGAAAATTGCCACTGAAATCCAGGAAGATCTTGTTCTTGTTCTCCCCAAATTCTGCTTTTCTTTCCTGACAATGTGTGGGCCCTTAAGATTCTGAGAACTTTATAACCCAGGCAAGTCCTGGCTTTTCTCTCTCCTTCAAGTTTGGCAGTCTTTCTCTTAACTCCTCCTGGCCTCTGAAGCCAGGTGTGCTTTATCTTCTCCCAGACCACCATAATTAAGAGGCCTGTGTTGACGATAGAGTTAGAAGTAGGTGGTTGAAATCTTTATTGAAGCGATCTGAAAGTCACCATCAGCCCCTTGCCAGGGCTTCTGCTCCTCTATTTTTTTTGCTAAATTTTCTATCTCTTCTCTTCCTAGCAGCTGGAGCTCCCTAGGTTTATGTGCTGGATTAGTCTTCCTAAATTTCCTGAGACACGCCCCTTTCACCTGCCACACAGGTTCTGCTCTGGGAAACCTCCTGGTGGAGAACACACTGTAGCAGCCCGAGCAAGGAAAGCAGGAGACTGATCATTCACTCTGGGCTTTCTTGACCTTTCTACTTTTCTAGGATGAAAAACGTACAGCCACTTCCTCTTTCTCAAAAAGGGTGTTATGAGCTTGATTGAAGATATAGCCAAAATTTACTATAGATTTTCCTCTACGTAGTCAACCTCAGAGACTCTGGATTTCCCAAGCTTGTTCCCCATTCAGTGTACTCTCTTAATTATAATAAAATATGATGAGCATTGGATCTATGACTATTTCCTTTTGGACAGATTAGAAAGGTGGAGAGACATACGTATGGAAAGATGAATTAGAGGAAGATACCTACTACAGGCCAGCAGGTTTCACTGGGGCAGTGGGCAGGATGAAATTCACATTGACTTCTGAACCCCAAATTTTCTCATGTGAAATGAGAGTTTGGGGCTTCCTTATCTAGGAGGTCTTCTGACTACTCAAAGTGTAGTCTATAAACCATCTGGGAGTTTGTTAGAAATGAAGAATTTGAGGTCATTTGAGAGACTTGCTGAACCAGAATCTGGAGTTTAATAATATCTCCAGATGATATGCACATGCATTAAAGTTTAAGGAGTGGTCAACCTAACCATCAATGATTCTATGTCCGAACACCTAGTTCTTTCTTGAATAATTCTTGCATATTTCACCCTCTCCTAACTTCAAGCTATGGAAGTAAAGGTAAGATTCAACTTCTCAATCTCAGCTGGTAGGACCTAAAATTATTAATAGACTTCAAAAACCAGACCTAAATTGTTATATCTGTAGAGTGGGTCACCAGTTTTAAGACTCAGTCTGAAAGTTTATTGTGTAGGTCTGAAACTGTTTATTAACTCAATTAATTATAGCCATCTTATTCATAATAATAACTATATTTCATTACTTAAGTGACATAAATAATACCTGTATTTTTAATCATAAAATAGTATTATTTCTAGCAGGGCATGGTGGGTACCTATAATCTCAACACTTTGGTAGGTTGAAGCAAGAGGGTCTCTTGAGCCCAGAAGTTTGAGACCAGCCTAGACAACTTAGCAAGACCTCATCTCTACAAAAAAATTTTTAAAAATAGCTGGGCATGGTGGCATGAACCTGTAATCCCAGCTACTTGGGAGGCTAAGGCTGAAGGATCACCTGAGCCCCAGAGGTTGAGGTGAATGGTGATTGTGTCACTGCACTCCAGTCTGGGCAATAGAATGAGACGCTGACTCAAAAATAAAATAAATAAATAAATAAATAAATATTATTTCTAAATTCAGGAAACTTGAAAAATCAGCAAAGTGGAAGTTTAAAAAAAGTCACTCCTATATTCTTACTAATTAGAAAAGGCTTATAAATTCTGTTCTCAGTCTTTAGTTTCCATTCCTTCTTAAATTGCCACCTTTTTCAGTCTAAAAGTTTCCTAACAGCTAATGACAAGGAAAATTATACCACATTACACAACAGACTGAAAGCAATAATCTTGGCCTTTATTTAATTAACTTTCTCTCCCAAATAACTAAAATAATATTGATGTTATCTTTAGTAATTTTGGTAAGCCTCAGCTCATTTTGCAGTTTAGTTTCTCAAAAACTGTGCCTACTGAGACCTGTTACCTTCAAATATTCTAAATGCCCTTTTAAGATATAGTTTATCAGAAAGTTCCCTGAACAACCACATTAGATTTTTTTAGAATTTTATTTGATTTTAAAGATGTGGGGTACAATTCAGCATTAGGTGTACAAGTGGTTATCATACAGGTAAAGTTTGGGCCTACCTTTGGTTCCCACTTGGCCTGGTTTGAGATCAGTTACCCTTATTAATGTTATGTGCCCCCTGCTTCTTTCCTTGGCAGTTTCTAGCTACAGTCAATCCCTTACTTGTAGCATTATGGTATATTTTCAGGGGTAAGAACATTTGGTACTCAGTTCATTGTTTCTATGATAAATCACTGAGTATTATAGACTCTAAATCCAACCAAGTTGCTGCAAAGTGTGTTTTGTTCTTCTTTATGACTGTGTAGTATTCCATCATGTATATGTATCATATTTTTTTTATCCAGTCCAGTTCCAATGGACATCACGGTTGGTTCCATTATTTTGCTATTTAAATAGTGCTGCAATAAACATATGTGTGCAGGCATTTTTTTGTACAGTGATTTAAGTTCCTCCAGGTACATTCCCAGATGGAGGATTGCTCGGCTGTATGGAAGGTAAATTTCTAGTTATTTTAGGATTTGCCACACTGTTTTCCATAGAGGTAGAACTAGTTTACATTCCCACCAACAGTGTAGAAGCATTCCCTTTTCTCCACATTATTGCCAGCATCTGTTGTTTATTGTTTTATTAATGATGACCATTTACTGGTGTTAAGTGGTATCTCAATGTGGTTTTGATTTGCATTTCTCTGATGATTAGTGAGACTGAGCATTTTTTCATGTTGTCTGTTGGCTGCTCCTATGTCTTCTTTTGAGAAGTGTCTATTCGTGTCTTTTCCCACTTTTTGATGGTGCTGTTTGTTTTTTTCCTTTCAGCACATTTGAGTTCTTTGTAGATCCTGAATGTTAGGCCTTTGTCAGATATGCAGTTGAAAAATATTTTTTCCCATTCTGTGGACTGTATCTCCGCTCTCTTGCTGGTTTCTTTTGCTTTGCAGAAGTTTTTCAGTTTGATGAGGTACCAGTTGTCTATCTTATCTCTTACGGCATGGACTTTTGGGGTTGTG